CTCTTGGAGCATTGTCTTGACCAATGCCAAGTGGCTTATTATTAGGCTGAGACGTGGCTTAATTTGGATACGTGTTGAATTAATTTTTTAAAAATAAAATAAAGTAATTAAATATTATTGATAAATTTACACAATTGAAAATTAACACAATAGAATAAAATTTAAAATTAATTTTTTTAAGAGTAACAAAATATATATCTTCTATATTATATTAAAAAGAGAGTAGCAGACAAAAATATTAAACAAAATAATGCGCTAATACAAATTTATACTAACAATGTTATAATACTGAATATTGAATAATATAATACAAAATATAGAACAAAAAAGTTATTATAACTATATAAGTCTCCTTTGTAATTTAATAGATATATTATTATTGGGTATATTGTATTAACAAATGAGATGACAATTAAAATTTATTAAAGCAATACAATCTAATATGTTCAAACAATCTCGATCACAATTTAATTTAATTAATTGTTTTTAATGTTGACCGCATGACTACTAGTGTCAAGAATGATGCAATCTCGAATAGAAAATTATGTCTGAACAAATGTTGGAGAACCAAATGAATCGTTTGTTTGGTCGAAGTGTATCATAACCTTTAGTTTTATGTTAGGTGAAAGATTATACGGCATAAATATTTTCAAGAGTAAAAATCACATTGATATGTTGAAATTTGGTAATATTGACATTTCTTTCATTACCTTTTTGTGAAGTTCCTTAAAGTATTTCCGCACGCAGAGACTATTAACGGGCATATTTAGTCGTTTTTGGGATAGAATTAGATGCCACCAAAATTTTCTTTCTTTTTACACCTACTTGAATTAAATATGACTTTAAAATAAAGAACTATACAAGAAAAAGCTCTTTCTCATTATTTTATCTAATTTCTAATGATCTACTATGTTTTCACGCTTTCTTATTCTCAAATTGGGCAATTTAAGATTATTTGACTTTTAAGAATAGTTAAAGCATTTAATTGCTACGTCTAGCTACTATGGCACTTTACTGTTTTATTATGAATTAACTTGTATACACTAACCTTTTAAACAATGCAAATAATAAGGCCTTATTTTGTTCAATTTTGGAATAGATAAGGTTATCCCATGGGATTATAATCTCATCTCTTATGTGGGATGTAGCTAATGCCAAGTCTATAAGCTTTATCCAGATTTGAGTTAGTATGTACAACCAAATGTTGGATAAAAATTAATTCCAAATTTTATACTGGAATAACTACTGTAAACCTTGTAACCAAACGGCCCCTTAAAAGTTAATTAGATATAACTTTTGCAAACAAGTACTACTAACTACTCTCTCCGGTCCACTTTAAGTCATGTTTCGGCTCTTTTCACACATATTAAGGAATTCACTTTTTAATATTAATTAATAATAAAATTAACTATATTAACCTTAATTTGCTCGTTGAAAATATAACAAATTATTCTTAGACTCTTTATTCCAAGAGCAACTTTGGAAAAAATAAGTTAATTTTTTCTTGATATCTGAAAAAATTAAATATTACGGACCACAAAAAAAAGATCAAAAAATCACTTAAAGTGGACCAGAGGGACTAGTAAAAAGTAACTACATGTTACAACCGGTAAATACCAAGTAAGTGTAATATAATTTTATTTATATAGCCGAGTATATAAAGTACAACTTTATTAATAGTTCCAACTAGCAGTCCAAACGCCAGCCTCCGGCTTGTTGGTAAAAATAGCACGGGCTAGCCAGTTTTCGGATTGATAATTCAAAAATAGCTAGTATTTACAAAGTCATTAAAAAATAACCACTATTTTGCTGCAACACGGACGGGTCTAGCATAATATACTGGAGATTGGTTCACCTGTGTATGAACTTCTAGCATATTATGCTAGAACTCCAACACGCAGAAAAATCAGCATAATATACCAGAGATTGGAGCCCATGTGTATGAACTTCCAGCATATTATGTTGGACCGATACATTATACTGGAATTCCAGTATATTATGCTGGAATATTTTCCGAATTTTGAACATTGTTTTCGTTCAAATTTATCTTTACATGAAAAGTGGCTAAATTTCGATTACTTTTGAAACTGTGGCTATTTTTCAATTACCACTTGTAAATCTGACTATTTTTGAATTTCTCCCGACTTGTTGACGTCGCCCCGTCTGCCGGTGGTTATTGTTTGGATTTGCCTAGAGTTGCCACCAATTTTGATAATTATGGAACAATGAGCACTTCTATTCTTTGATAGTAAAATGGTCTAAGTAGAAAAAAAATCTTTTCCAATAAAAAGCTATGTAACTCAAAGGCAGAATCAATATTTGAAGTTTATGGGTTCAGGAATATAATTTGTTTAAATTAGTGGGTTCTAAATTAATAAATTATACATATTCGATAGATTTCTTAAGACAAATACGTAGTTTGGATAAAAACTATTATGTACAGCCGAACCCGTAAGTTGTGTTGTAGCTCAGCCCCGATTTAACTGTATACAATTTAAGTACAATACAAATCATGAAAGTACTGTTGTAACTAAAACGTAAATAGCTATTTAAGTACTCTTTAATACAAGCAAACTTTCATTCATTTTTTAATTCAATTCTCCTTTTGCATACTGTGATCTTGTCATCGGCTTTCCCATACAGCATTAAGAGTCTAGTCTAGCACACGAAAGGGGCTATCGCACACAAGGCGCAGAGTTTTTCGCAAGCGGTATCGATATTTTAAAAAATAAATAAATGAACAAATATAACAATGATGCCACATTTTAAAAAAAAAAAATTAAAATTATATCAATAAAATACAGTACAACTACAATACTATAACTCTCCTCGACGATTTTTTACTTTTTGAAATGTATGCATAAAACCTCATATAGTACTACATATTTTCTTATACAAGGCATCACACAACCACTCAAATTTAAATAAGTTTTAAGGAACTTAAAACATTTTTTTTAACAGTGTAGACGTAGTTTAGCCGATTCTTTCTTCTAAGTTAAATGGATTTTCAGATGTTAAACTTGATTTTGAAATCTTAAAAGGTGTTGTCTTCAAGAAAAAGAAAAGGAAAAAAAAGAAGTAGCAAACAGCTAATAAATGGAAGTTAGCTTTTGAAAAAACATCCATTTTGGGGTTTGAGTTTCGAACCAATTACCTCCTACTCAAAAATTTGCGGATTAACCACTGGACCAAAACGCGTATCTTGGCAAGTATTGTCATTTCAACATTTATAGAATCATAACCATTGCATTTAGTCCTAGCCTTCAGAATATTTTTTGTGATTTCAATAGTTCAAGAGTATTTTACTTTTAGGAACAGTTAAAAGAATTAAATGCTAAGCCTAGCTATTATAAGACTTCTTTTAAGGAGGTTAACTTTTACACACCACCCTTATAAAGAATTTCTATGCCAGCAAATCATTTAAAAGCTAATTAGATGTAACTTTTCAGACTATATTGATAATGTAATTTCTTTATAATGTACATGAATATAAGTTAAATCTTGTTATTAATAGCTCCATTAGCAGTCTAAATGCCAGCCTTTGGCTTGTTGCAGTCAACTCATCTGCTGGTGGTTTGTGTTTGGATCTGGTTTTAGCAATGCCACCAATTTTGATACATAATAATTAGGGAAATAAAGAGCAATTTCATAGTTTGATGGTAAAAGATCTAAGGTAAAAAAGAGACTTTCCATTAAATAGTTGCCAAGTACAATTTCAACATCAAAACTGTATTGAATAACTGATGTTTATACTAACTCAATAAATACATAATACATGTACTTAAATACATTATTATAACTAAATTATATCTAATTAATACACTTCTTCACCTTTCTTAACCATGTAAATTAATATGATTTGATATAAACACTTATATGTGCATAAGTTTTTATCAGAAGTGCGGGTTCAAATCTCAATATTTAAGTTATCTTTCCCTAAATACTGAATCAATAAAAGAAGAGGTTAGTGCTGCAACTCTCTATTATTTGATCTAATATTGACAGGGGATGAGCCCCACTTCTATTACCGTTATTTTTACGATTTGAACCCATTGTGTCACTACAACTATTTAACCTTACACCAAAACCCTCCTTTCATCATCTTATTATTATAGTAATGTCGTAACTAGAACATAAATGACATTCTCATATTTCCCAAAAACTGTGACATACTCTACTAAATAAATATGGACGACCTATAAGATGGATATTTGTTAATAAAAGTCCAAGAATCTTCACTTGGGGTGAATCTGGAATCATTGGTCATATGCTTCTTTTGTATTCCTAAAAGTTACTACTTTAAAAATCAAAACTTTTTGTCTGTTACCTTGTAAAAAAAAAAGAATCTTGATTTGTCCCAAATGGGAAAAAAAAAACTCAACAAACATTAATCATTATTAATGCAAAACAAGAAAATTATCACTATTTTTCTTTGTCTTTCTCTCACCCACCATGGCCGCTGAAGCTTTCTTATTGTCATATTTGAGGAGCTTAAGCTCTTTCTATATGTTCTTTTCTTCATAGTACTTTGCCGGCAAATTCTGTTACTCACTTTTCTCTCTCTTTTGACTTTAAAAACAACACTATATATACACTTGTGTGCATAAATTCATTTGTGGGTATTTGTTCAAAATTCGAAAAATTCAATCTTTATACTCTTTTTCTCAATGGCTACTGATGAGGAAACACCCCTTGTAGTTGAAAATCCCAAAAATCAAAACCCAATTGTGAATCATGAAAGAGATGTTCATATTCTTAGCTGTGCCTTTTTATTGATTTTCTTGGCTTATGGGGCTGCTCAGAATCTTGAAAGTACTATTAATACGGTATGGTTTTTGAGATTGTTCTTTTGTTATGAATTTTCTGGGGTTATTTAGTGTGAAAATTGTGATTTAGGATGGAATTTGCATGATTTTAGAAGTTGAAGTGCGATTGAGTTTTGAGGTTTTTTTTGTGTTTCAGGAAGGAAATTTAGGGACAACTTCATTGGGGATATTGTATCTATCATTTATGTTCTGTTCAATATTTGCTTCATTGGTGGTTAGGAAGCTTGGGTCAAAGAATGCTTTGATCCTTGGGAGTACTGGCTATTGGTTGTTTGTAGCTGCCAATTTGATGCCCAATTGGTATGTTTTTTTTATTTTTATGTCTATTGCATTTTGTTTTTCCAAAATAAAATGTTTAACCAGTACTGGAAAATTAGGCTATTGAGATGGCAGCAGTAGCGGAGCTAGGATTTTCACTAAGGAGAGTCAAAATTTAAAGAAGTATATACCCGAAGAAGTCAAGGAGATTCAATACATAGTATATATACATAAAGTAATATTTTTTACCTATCTAAACAGTATATTTTTTTGGCGAAGGATATGTGGCTCTGCACTCGCTGGCAGTGATTGTGTGGTGCAAATCCAATTTAACTCGTTTCATAAAGTGAGTTGTGATTGTAGTTTGGTTTTGTGTTTTTTGCAATATTTTGCGCACTTATGAATCCTTAGTGTGAGTAAAAACATGAATCTTGTACTCTATTGGACTAATTATAGAGGTCTATTAGGCTTCATATTTCTCTCGTCCGGTTGTGCCATTAGCCATGAAGAAGTTTATTATAGTTGGCTTTTTGCTAATTTCTTGTCAGAATGATCTAGGCTTGAACAGCTGTGCTTAGAATGGTTAGAGCAAGCCGTGCAATAAATTTCAAAATGGGATTTAAACAGTTAAGGAGGCATTAGTAGCCAGCTGACTTGCCAACAAGAGTTATATGCTAGCTCTCAGTTAGAAGCCAGCCAAACCTATGTTATAGTCATCCTTTTGATGTTTGTAGAATTAGTAACTGCATTATCAGGGACAACATGCCATCAATTTTTATGAACTTACCTGTGAAGGAAGGACTATCTCTTATTCAAATCAAAAGTCTCCTCCCTTAGGTTGTACCAGAAAGACAAACTGAAATCTATGAAAACATAGAGTCAGACTCTGGAAGATGGAAGAAATGCTCGAGGATTTAGCTGTGCTCATAGGTCTACTGGATGTGATAACTGAAGCCCCTAAACAGTAGCAATGACTGCTTGCTCTCTCAGGGCATGTGATGCCCAACTGTCTGCCATTGTGGATCCTTGTTTTGTGAAAGCAAGCCATAAAGAACAAATATCTCTACTTGATAGTAGTAAATTAGTAATAATGCACTATAGTGTCAAAAACCTGAATGTTCTCCTTCACCGTACTATTTTGAGGCCTATTCATATATCATTTTTGACCTCCAAATGTCTGTGCACGATAGAAACTTTAACTACACTCGTGGAATTAGGCTGACAGAGGTAAAGGATGCCATGAAATATATGAGAATTAGAAAAGCTTGTGGTCCAGATAGTATCCCTATAGAGGTTTAGAAGTGTCTTGGAGAGGTTGGAATAGAATGCCTCACCAAGCTATTCAATGTTAAAATAAAAAGTGATAGGATGCCCGACGAGTGGACAAATAGTACCCTGATCCCAATTTATAAGAATAAAGGATAAATTCAAAGTTTTGCAAACTATCGTGGCATTAAACACATGAGCAATACGATATAACTTAGGAAAGAGTGATAGACCGTAGACTTAGGAATACGACAAGAGTGACCGAGACCCAATTTGGATTTATGCCCTATCGCTCTACAACAGAGGCTATATTCTTGCTAAGAAAATTGATGGAAAGCTATGGCGAAAGGAAGAAAATCTGCACATGGTATTTGTTGGATTTTGCATTTGTTATTGCTGATATTTGATTTACCAGAATAATAAGTAGTTTAGTCGAAGGAGGAGTCTTTGTTTAAATTTAAATTTAATAGGATAAGTTAGTTGAGATAGTTTAGGTTTTTGAATTTGAATATTTATTCTCCAGATTTTATGCAGATTCTGTTTTTAAATTAGCTATTTAAAGCCCTCTTGGTTTGTAAAATTTATGAAAGACTTTTAATCCTTTTGCTGCCCATCTTTTAAAAAAACCAACAGTGGTATCAAGAGTTTCATTGGTTTTACGGGATCTGTGAGTTCTTCCAAAGAACCATTTTCAAATTATTTTTAACCTATATCAATTTTTAAACCCATTTTCAAACATGACAAGGAGCAATCTCTCATTGAATGCCCCACAAACTTTCACTGGCGAAAATTATCAGATTTGGTCAGTGAAAATAAAATCGTATCTTGAAACCTATGTTGTTATAGAAGAAAGATCTTTACAACCACTCCCCGCAAATCTTATCATTACCCAAATTAAAACTCCTTTAGAAGAACCTTCAGACAAGACAAAGTTGTTGAGATTGTTTTTTATGCGCAAAACCAAAAAGAAGAAAAAAGGAAAGAACAAGTCATATTGCAGATGGATGCAAGTTCAAAAACACTTGAAAGAATGCACAAGCACAAATTGCCAAAGCAAATATTGAGGAGGATCAACCTATTGCAGCAACAAAAGCAAGGAGGAGTGTTGAATTTTGCATTTGTTACTACTAATATTTGATTTACCAGAATAATAAGTAGTTTAGTCGAAGGAGGAGTCTTTGTTTAAATTTAAATTTAATAGGATAAGTTAGTTGAGATAGTTTAGGTTTTTGAATTTGAATATTTATTCTCCAGATTTTCTGTAGATTCTGTTTTTAAATTGGCTATTTAAAGCCCTCTTGGTTTATAAAATTTATGAGAGACTTTTTTAATCAATACTTTTAATCCTTTTGCTGCCCTCATCTTTTAAAAAAAACGAACACTATTCATTGACCTAGAGAAAGCATATGATAGAGTACCACGAAAGGTCTTTTAGTGGGTGATGGAGAAGAAATGAATGCATATTAAATGTATAAATACCCTAAAGGACACGTATGAAGGAGCCGTCACTAGCTTGAGAACAATAGTAGTAGATACAAAAGAGTTTCCCATAACAGTTCTACACCAAGGATGAACACTGAGCCCCTACTTGTTTATCCTAGATGTTAACTTTTGTCCATTTACACAATTTTGCGGTTTTCTTGTCACTCTCCTTTTTATTCTACCCACTTTTTTTGTCGATTATGTTTTCTTTTTTTAATGCTAACAACTTATAAGGTTTTGCGTATTTTGTTCTTGAGACCTATAGTTTGTTTAAGATGTTCATGATATTCAATTATCGCCAGTTGATTAAGCTATCTTGTAGGTATACCATGGTCCCAGCTTCTTTGTACCTCGGTTTTGCTGCTTCTATAATATGGGTTGGGCAGGTATGACTTCCTTTTAGGAGTTGGATTTTGTTTTGGCTTCAGCGATAGCCTTAATCTTGTTCTTTGTGGTTAGGGTACGTATCTTACTTCCACAGCGCGCAGTCATGCAAATGATCATGTCTTAAACGAAGCTGTTATAATTGGTAAATTTAACGGTGAATTCTGGGGAATATTTGCAAGTCATCAGGTACTTTGTATGAGCTTCGCAAGTAAGTTTTCTTGATATATTTTCCACTCACATGATAGTTCCATGAACGCAACAACTTTTTCTCTTGATTTGCAGTTTGTCGGAAATCTTATCACTCTAGCTTTGATGAGAGACAGAGAAGTAAGGATCTCCTCAGATTAAGTGCTCAACTGCTCATCCTTGTTTGTTTTTCATTACGATTTGTTAGTTTTGTGTTGCTACAGGGAGGAAGCACTAGTGGCACAACGGCACTTTTCTTAGTTTTTATTGGTACCATAACTCTCGGTGCCGTTCTTATGTGCTTCTTAAGTAAGAGAACTGGTAAAGAGGAGACAGGACTACAAGACTCGTCTGCTAGTTTCTTTTCTTCTGTGGTAACTTTGTTCAAGTCTATCGTCACCCTTTTACAAGACATAAGAATGCTCTTGGTCATCCCTCTTATTGCGTATTCAGGCTTACAGCAAGCATTCGTATGGTAAAGAATACTTCTTATAGATCATTGGAGTAGAATTTGCAGCATCTTATGCTGTTCCATTATTTTAATTGACAACGTGTTTCAGGGCTGAATTCACAAAGTACATTGTTGTGCCTACAATGGGTGAGAGTGGTGTTGGTGGTGTAATGGCTGTTTATGGGGTTTTTGATGCAATTGTAAGTATGCAAATGCACTAACGAACTAATTCAATCTTTAGTCACAGGTTCACTTGAACAGGGTGTTGTTTGACTGTGTTCTTTGAGCAAACTAATTCAATTTTCTGCTGTTGTGGTGTGTTCTTTAGTCTTACGAAGCAATTAGAGCTGTAAATTTGTCCTTTTCAGATTCTCTTTAGTTGCGTCCCTAGTCTGTTGGTGAGCCTTTTATTTATAAATTTTATTCTTTTGGTTCTTTTCTTTTTTGCTTCATTTTATTTTTAAAATTGAAGATCTGCAATAGGAAACATCTTAATTGAATGCTAAGGTAGTTGTAGTAATGAAAAAAATATATATATTGTGGCCCGAGGGAGTAATTGTAATCTCATGGGATAGAAGTGTATTGGCAGTGCGAATTGAGCACTAACCTAAGTAACCGATCATCCATAAAATTTTCATTGTAGACCGACAAATGCTGAATTTGCAATGTTCGCTTATTACTTGAATTTTTCTTACTGTGTCTGGAACAAAATTTATTCATATTTATGTGAAAGATTAATTTTAAACATTAGACAAGGAAAAAAAGGACCTGATCCATTGTAATGACATATATACTATCGTTGGATGGACATTGTTTCAGTGTTCTCTAGTGGCTGGCCATTTTACCTTTGGTCTCTCATCTATCTCGATAATTGTCTCGGGTGGAGCTTTAGTTCAGGCTTCTGTATTGGCATGGATTCTACTGAGTCACAGGTTCGCTTCGTGTAATGTTCCCTTGCTACTTTTTGGAATAAGTTGATATTGGTACGTAAAATCGTATTGTTTCTCCTCTATTGTAGTGTGACTGGTGGAGTTCTAGGCATACTATATCCGCTTCTCGTTGCAGCCTTGTGGGGCATAGGTGATGGAGTCCTGAATACCCAGCTAAGCGCATTGCTCGGGATACTCTTCAAGGATGATCTGGTACTAATTTACCAACTTATTTTTATCATTTTGACATCTCTTGGTATGTAGTTCATGGAAATCTCCTTAAAATACATATAGAAACATACTGCTAGTAATGGAAGTGAATTCTTAAACATCGAACACATGTTTCAATAATGTGTTCACCCTAATTTTATTTGAGGTTTGCCCAAATAAAGTGGTATAAACATCATCTTTATTCAAGATTTATGTTAATCATGTTCTGATTTTTATTTAGACGATTATTATTCCTTTATGTTACTTAAAATTGTGGCTACTTTTCACTGGATGATTGTTTTACATCAAATATCAAATCATTTTGTGCTAAACAGGAAGGAGCATTTGCCCAGCTTAAGCTTTGGCAGAGCTTTGCAATTGCCGTAGTCTTTTTTCTCGCCCCCCACATTTCGTTGCAGACGATGCTAGTGATTATGTTCGTCGCCCTTTGCTTATCCGTGGCTGGTTTTCTTTTCTTGACTCTGAAGGTAGAAAAAGCATTCTCGTATCGAGCTGTCTAAGGCGACGCCAATGGGACATTTAGTGTTGTATCAGCTATGCTATCATCTTGTTCTGCAGTGTTGATAATCCATCTTGTAGCAATATTTGAACCTGCTTGCTGCAGTGTGTTCTATTCAACTGAGTTCTCCAGAAATCCAGTTCACATTATCAATCTTATGTTTGCTTATATATGTTCTTTCCATGCTATTGTTTTGTTGAAGGGAACACATATTTAATAAACGATCAAGCCAAAACAGAGTTACATGAGGGAAACATCCTTGTTCTCTAAATGAGAAGCATCAAAACATAGAATAGAAGCTAAACACGATGGATAGAAATCCCAAATAACACGAGTTGCATACGATAAAGCTACCCGAGATGTTATTCTTGAAGTCCCTTGTCTCAGTTGTTTAGAATAGGCAAGATAATATAATATTGTATTGGACTAAAAAGGCCCAAATTTCAGTGGATATAGAAAGTTTATATAGTAATTCAAATTAGATTGGAGAGGCGTAGTAGTTGTTGAATTTTGAATGCTTATGGTTCGTGACTTTCTAGTTTCTATAGCTAGAGTGCAGGCAACCAAAAGTTGAAATTGTTTTTGTCAAGTCGAGCTATAACATTAAGTTGAAAGGGAGCCTTGGAGCAACGGTAAAATTTTCTGTGTGTAACCTATAGGTCACAGGTTCGAGCCGTGGAATTAGCAATTATGCTCGCGCATCGGAGTGGCTACCTACATTACAACCTTTAGGATACGGTCCTTCCCCAAATCTTGTGTGAATGTGAATACTTTGTGCACCGGGATGCTTTTTGCCCTATAACATCTGGTCTGTAAATATTTCTCCATTTCAAACTATGATAGCCTAAGGAACTTAACACATGGAAAACAATAATATTATATTGTATTGGACGACTAAAAGGGCCCGAATTTCAGTGGATATAGAAAATTTATATAGTCATTCAAATTAGTTGGAGATTGAGGCGTAGTAGTTGTTGAATTTTGAATGCTTATGGTTCGTGACTTTCTAGTTTCTATAGCTAGAGTGCTGGCAACCAAAAGTTGAAATTGTTTTTGTCAAGTCGAACTATAACATCAAGTTGAAAGGAGACTTGAAACAACGGTAAAGTTGTCTCTATGTAACCTATAGGTCACGGGTTCGAACCGTGGAATTAGCCACTATGCTCGTGCATCGGGTGGCTGCCTACATTACACCCTTCAGGATGCGGTCCTTCCCCAAATCTTGTGTGAATGCGGATACTTTATGCATCGGGCTGCCTTTTGCCCTATAACATCTAGTCTAAGTGTAAATATTTCTCCATTTCAAACTATGATAGCCTAAGGAACTTAACACATGGAAAAAGATAAGTTCGAATAGGTTACTCTTAACTCATGATTCGCCACCTTTTTTTATGTTTATGTTACATTGGGTTAATGGCAGTACTGTTAAGATTATCATAGTTATCATGATTAAGATTATGGTTAGCATTATTCTTATCATTGTCATTATCATAATCATCCCATTATCTCCGTTATCTTTATTTCATTATTTTCATCTTTTTTCGTGTAACAAAAAAGAGAATATTTTTTGGACAAAGTCTATTCAGAGATGAGAATGGGTGCACTAACTGGTTCAAACTATTTATAGTTAACAATTTTAGAAAAATATTTTATTAAGTTCATCATCTTCATTGTCTGTAAAAAGTAATGGATACAACTCATCAACCTAAAATTGAAAAATACAACACCTAAAATTGAAGGTCAAGTGTCCAACATAAAATATTAGCACCTAAATTTAAGGTAGTCAAAAGTGTATTATCATGTTGAGCACTTAAAACGAATCCTCCGAATATTTATGCTAAAATATCATATTTTTCTCACCAACCCCATACCAAAATCTCTAATAATAATAGTGCCACGTCCACTTTGTCTACCAAAATAACCGTTCCTTTTAGTTGCAACCCCTTTTCTATCTCACCAAACTACCTAAAGATTAGCTTCATCTTTTTATATGGAGGAGTTAGTCAACAAATTATCTATCCATTATAATTACAATTTAACTTATATACTGTAATAAAATTTTACACTATCAGTATATATTTTATTATATTGTAATAGATGATCAGTAAAAGCAGTTTCTAACATTGAACCCATTATATTTTAAAAATTATGAGTTTATATCTATTATTTTTGTAATTTTAATATTTTTACATATAACTCGAAAGTTGCATCCCCTAGTGATCAGCCTAATTTTTTCAGGTTATTAATATCACTTTTTACGAACATTTATATGTAGTTACTTTTTAGGTGATTTATAGTGCAAAATTCTTTTACACGGTCAAAACATATAAGCTAAACTCTAACAACTAAATTACTTGAAACCATGTTGTATGCTACATTATGAAAGTAGTTAAGATTAGGTCCATCTTTTCCATAACAACCAACATCCTTATTATACTTATGTTTGACCAATAAACATGTAACCCCATTATATTCATATTCTTGTTATGTTCCAAACACAATTTTTTTCTAGTAAAACATGAGCTTCATTTTCTTGAACTCAATTTATCAAAGGCTCTCATTGAGGCTACCATTGTTATTCTATGCTGCAACATGGACAACCCTTTTAACAATAATAGTAGCAGTGGCTTCTTTTTCGCCGGAATTAGCCTTCGTTTCGGCGATAACGCCGTCGTCTTCCTTCTCTCAGGCTTGTCATGATAGAGGATCTGTGAGAATTCCATTGGATCTTCCATTAGAGGTTTTTTGTTTCCCTACTGAGGTTTTTCAGAGGTCTAAAATGGATTTGCTTGTTCCTCCTATTTTTGCTGCTACTATTGTGGCTGTCTCGGCTTATGTAGTTAAAGCTTTGGCTTTGTGGGAGGTTGATGGTGAAAATAATCAATTTTGATCTTTAAACTCGAGACTTGTGTTGGTAGGAGGTAGCAGATATCACGTGGAATTAGTTACACACAAAATGAGTCGAATACCATGATTATTCCAAAAATTAATCAGTTTTTTTTTTCACTTTGTTAGTTTTGTACTTTTGTGTATTGGTTGGAGATTTCTTCACATTTTATTATTGATTCTTGGAATAATATTCGGTCTCTAATTTCTTTGGAAGAAGAAGCTTTTTCTTGTTGGTGTAGTGATTTATGTTTGCGGATGAGTAAAGATTTGCAGAGTAGAGCCAGAATTTAAAATTTATGAATTCGTGATTTTAATTTGTTTAAGTTACTGAATACTAAATAAATAATTTATACATGAATTTTTTAAAACAAATATGTGATTTGAATTGAAACTAATGGGTTCGGCCGAGCGCGTATCCCTCGTGCTATCTCCGCCCCGAAGATTTGTGTTGAGTCTCGACATTTTCATGCATGATAAGTTCATGTTTACATCATTAATTTGTTACTTTTACCCATTGCAGGTTGATCATAGTCATGCGAGTTGCTTCTTGAAATAAATATACTCTGTCTTTAATGAAAATTGAGTTTCATAAAAATTATATTTTAATATTTTTGGTATTACGATGAAAAATATATTTATACGATTACGGCGTTACTTAAAACGTAATTAGGCCATAATGTTTACAATAACTGTATCGTATTAGAAAGATATTCTATTTATAAAGGCAACACAAAGTTAGGCTGCTCAATTTGTTAATGTTGCTTTAAAAGTCTAAAAGATGTGATGTATAACTTGGTGCCGCTATAACAATTTAAATTCTGTTATAAAATAAAGACAGTAGAGTAAAGACAAGTATAGAGATAAGTTGATATATTATTCAACTTCAAATTTATGTACTTCATCCGTTCACTTTTACTTGTCCACTATTGACTTTGTATACCCCTTAAAAAATAATAAATGAAGTGCATAATTTACCATGACACCCATATTAATTGATGCATATTTTTAATGGATTTGAGAAAATAATTTGAAATGAGTAAATAATATTGTGCGTATAACAGGAAAAAAGAAATTGTCTGCTCTTGATATGCTAAAAGTGACAAGTAAAAGTGAAAATCTATTTTTAGAATACTGGACAAGTAAAAGTGAACGGAGAGAGTACATAATGAACTGAAAACTCATCTATTTATAGAAGAAAGGAAGCAGCTGCAAGGCTTTTCAGGAAGCAGCTGCAAAGCTTTTCAGGAAGCAGCTACGAGGCTTTTCTTGAGCTACATTGTAAGTTGTCTGCATGAGTTGCTTGCAACCTCAAAATCGCTGCAAATCATTTCATTGAGTTGCTCGCAACCTGTCTGCAATAGTTGTTGGTAGATAAACTTCAATAGAGTACCAAACGGATAATCTTCTTCAGGAAGATTATCTATAGCGGAGTAATAAATAGACATCCATAATATAATTATTTTTATAACACTCCCCCTTGGATGTTCATTAAAAGATATCGTGCCTCGTTAAAACCTTACTAGGAAAAACTTAGTGGGAAAAATACTAGTGAAGGAAAAAGAGTACACATATTTAGTAATACGCATTTCTAGCTGTCTCATTAAAAACCTTACAAGAAAAATCCATGGGAAAAACCTTAGTAAGGGCAAAAGAATACATTGCGTATTTTACTCTTCCGGATGAAAACCTTGTTTCAAATATTTGAGTCTCCGCATTCCAATCTTGTATACCATCTTCTCAAAAGTTGAAGTTGGCAAAGATTATGAACAAATCTGTTGAATTGTCACTTGAACGGATTTGTTGCATATCTATGTCACCATTTTCTGAAGATCATATATGTAGAATAATTTTGGTAAAATGTGTTTCGTTCTATCTCCTTTTATAAATTCTCTCTTTAATTACGCTATGCATGCAATGTGGATCTTTTATCATTCCAAACCATATTTTTCTTGAATAAAATGAATCACTGATCTCAACCATATGTATTCCCTACTTGCTTCATGAATAGTTATTATCTCAACACGATTTGAAGAAGTAGCAACAATAGATTGATTTGTGGAGCGTCATGATATGACAATACCTCCACATGTAAACACGTACTCAATTTTAGATCGAACTTTATTGGGATCAGATAAATAATATGCATCTGCATAACCAACAAGATCTGCACTACCTTTGTTAGCATAAAATAAACTCATATCAAGAGTTCCCTTTAAATATTGCAAAACATGCTTAATCTCATTCCAATGTCTCTGTGTATGAGAAGAGCTATATCTTGCTAGTAAATTAATAGAAAATGCTATGTCAGGCCTTGTAACTAGGGGTGTACGCGGACCGGGTTGGTTCAGTTTTTATCAAAACCAAACCAAACCAACTATATCGGTTTGGATTGGTTCGATTTTGTCAGGTTTTCAGTTTTTTTTTGTTACATGAATATTATTCGAATCTTACTTTGTTAAAGTTATAGATAAAATTTTGATAAGTGAATATATTTTTAGTAAATATTGAAAAAATTGACAAACAAATGATCTATTAAAATAGTCTAATTAGGAGAATTTTTTTAGTAACACATGATAGTTATTTTCATAGTCGTCTAATAATAATTTCCCGTTAATGTACGCTTTCAAAGTTAACATATGAGAGAATCCCAAATATTTCTACATTCTTTAAAAAAAATTCAATATCAAGTCTTAAAAAATAATATATAAATTATATATTTATATGTCGGTTTGGTTCAGTTTTTTTACTCAATACAAAACCAAGTCAAACCAAACCTAGTCGGGTTTTCTAATCGGTTTGGTTTGATTTTTCGGTTTGGTGCGATTTTTCGGTTTGGTTTGAACACCCCTACTTGTAGCATTAGCATGATAAATAAGTGCACCAATTGTAGTGAGATAGGGTGTTTCAGGACCAAGGAGTTCCTCATCCTCTTCTGGTGGTCGGAACGGGTCCTTATTCACTTCAAGTGATCAAACAATCATTGGTATACTCAATGGATGCGCTTTGTCCATGTAAAAACGTTTTAAGACCCTTTCTATATAGGCAGATTGACGGATAAAGATTTTGTCTGCTAAATGTTCAATTTGCAGACCATGACAAAGTTTTGTCTCTCCAAGATCTTTCATCTCAAATTCTTTCTTAAGATATTCAATTGCCTTTTGGAGCTCTTCTGGAGTTCCAACAAGATTTAAGTCATCAACATAAACAGCAAGTATAACAATTTCTGATGTCATTTTCTTTATACAAATACATGGACAAATAACATCATTTATGTAATCCTCTTTCAGCAAATATTCACTAAGGCGATGATCTTTGTAATCTGATTGAATACATTTTTCGAGATTTTGAATTTGCTTCAGGCATTTTAAATCCTTCAGGGATTTTCATATAAATTTCATTATCAAATGAACCGTACAGTTAAGTTGTACCTACATCCATTAGATGTATTTCAAGCCTTTTGTGTAGTGCTAAACTTATGAGATATAGAAACGTTATGGCATCCATAATAGGTGAATATGTTTCATCAAAATCGACTCCAGGTCGTTGTGAGAATCCTTGTGCGACAAGGCGAGTTTTGTATCTTTCAATTTCATTTTTATCATTCTTTTTTCACACAAAAACCCATTTATGACCAACTGGTTTTATACCAGCAGGTGTTTGGACTACTGGTCCAAAGACCTCTCTTTTAGTAAGTGCGTTCAATTCTAATTGAATTGCCTCTTGCCATTTTGGCCAAGCAAATCTTTATCGACATTCTTCTACAGATCGGGGTGAAAAGTCATCACTATCTTGCATAATGTTAAGTACAACATTATATGCAAAAATATTATTCACCACTATTTCATATCGATCTATATTAATCCCATCACCAGTAGAACTTATTAAAAGTTCCTCGCTCACTTGAGCCTCGGGTTCATTGATTTCTTCGGGAATCTCAGAACTAATCAGATATTGGGTCTCTTCAGGAGATCCCTTCATAGTATCATTTTGATCATTTGTCGATTTTCTTTTTTGAGGATTTCGATCCTTAGAACCCAAAGGCCTACCATGCTTCAAGCGTGCTTTAGGTTCACTAGCTCGCATGCTAGTAGATGGTCCTGCTGGGACATCAATTCGGACAGATACATTCTCTGCAGGGATATGTGACATAATTATTCTTTTCAAATCAGTAAATGCGTCTGGCATTTGATTTGCTATATTCTGTAAATGGATAATTTTCTGGACCTCCTGATTACATATAGGAGTACGTGGATCAAAATGAGATAATGATGAAACTTTCCACACAATTTCTCTTTTGATTTTCTTTTTCTCTCCCCCTAATTGTGGAAAATTTATTTTATCAAATCGACAATCTGCAAATCGAGCAGTAAATAAATCTCCCGTCAGTGGTTCAAGATAGCGAATAATAGAGGGTGATTCAAACCCAATATATATTCCTAACCTTCTCTGAAGGCCCATCTTACTGCGTTGTGGTGGTGCTACTGACACATATACAACACATCCAAAAATTCGTAGATGAGCAATATTTGGTTCATGACCAAAAATTAATTGTGACAGAGAATATTTTTTATAATGTGCCGGTCTGATACGAATAAGTAATATTGCATGCAATATAGCATGGCCCCAAACAGTAGTGAGAAATTTTATTTTCATAAGTAGTGGCCTCACTATCAATTACAAGCGTTTAATTAAATGATTCTGCAAGGCCATTTTGAGTATGAATATAAGCTACATGATGTTCAATTTTTATCCCAACTGATAGACAATAATCATCAAAATCTTGAGATGAGAATTATCCAGCATTATCAAGGCGAATAGCCCTTATAGGATAATCTGAGAATTGTGCCCTTAATCGAATTATTTGGGTTAATAGCTTTGCAAGCGCTAGGTTGCGAGATGATAGTAGGCACACATGAGACCATCTTGAAGATGCATCTATTAGGACCATAAAATATCTAAACAACCCACTTGGTGGTTGAATAAGTCCACATATATCCCCATGTATACGCTCTAAAAAGGTAGGGGATTCAATGTCAAGCTTCATTGGTGATAGTCTAGTGATCATTTTGCCTTGATAACAAGCATCACAAGAAAATTCATCATTTGTAAGAATCTTCAGGTTCTTTAATGGATGCCCACTCGAATTTTCAATAATTCGTATTATTATTATTGATCTAGGATGGCCCAAGCGGCTATGCCAAAGCACAAAAGTATTTGAATCAGTAAACTTCTGGTTTACGATAAGGTATTTTTCAACTGTACTCT